CCATATTCATACTATATATCTTTTACCTATTTATCTTTTTATTTTTAACTTTCCACAGTAGAACATAACTTCTGTGATGACAGGGATATTTTTCTGTTTGGTTTACTGCTGGGGAGTGCCCAGTGCCAGTACACAGTAGGCAGTCACGTTAATATTTGTTGAATGAAAGAATATTGCTTCATAAAGTCCCTCGTGCACGAAAAGGGCGGCAAATCGTTCATTACGAAACAGCTGAAATGAGACTTGCCAGTGGGAACGATTTCCAGGGTGTGGCCAGAGGTGTGGAGTTCCTAGCAAAGTGGAGAGAAAGCCTGAGAAAGCTTGTTGGAGAAGACATCAAGAGACTCTGGAGCCAGTGTGTGGGACGGGTCACACACATACACTCTATGTCACAGGATGATGTTGGGAAGTGAGGTGGCACAGAGGATAACATGCAAACTGCCAGCATCTCTAAGATAAATGCAGAGGACTGCTCTGCAGTCAGCTGTTAACAGCAACAAGGAGTGGAAGATCCTGGAATTATCAGACAGCTGCTTTCACAATCAGGAAGGTTTTGGAATTAGCATTAGGGAGCTGGGGGAATCCAAACACTGCCTCCTAGTCCCATGATGAACAGCCTATGGAAGACTGAAGAGAGGTCTCCATGGAGAGTGCTATGGAAATGATGGCTCCCAATAGAGCCAGGATTTCGTCAGGAAATGGGTGGGTAAGTTCAGCTGAGAGATTGAAATGTACAGAAGGGGACTGTTAGGAATGTGATGTTCCCAGTGGGATGGGAGAAAGACCAGCGAACAGAAGCACAGAGCAGTGTAGAGAGGAGCGTGTGTGAGATAGAAGAGGCTGTATAAGCAGATGATAGAGCTAATATTCTCACACGAGGCCACTTAAGAACTTAAGGTAGCAGGTTTTTTGTTTGTTCATTTTTCACCACCACATATAAGATGATTTTGTAGTTTAAAAAGCTAGCCAAGGAGAAGTGCAGCACATTACTGAAAACATCTCGATGTTCAAACACTTTGGGGAATTGTTCAAATACCTAGCAGCCATATCTTCTATTTAATATTTGTCATGGAAATATCTTGCCCTCCCACCTCAGAATACTTGATAGCTTCAATAGGATACAGTCTTTGATGAATTTAAAAAACTATCGCCATTTGAAACCTTTACTGTTTTTTTTCCAAACTTAAATTGAATTTTTATTATTAATTAATATTTCAGTAAAGCTGTTTAAAAAAGTAAAACGCTTGGAAAAGCACTGGGTCTCGTGAATTAGAACCACTAACAGTTTTCTATCTCTATTATTAACTTAAATTTGGAAGTGTGAGGCACCTCATGTTATCTTCAAATAAACTCATATGCCAATTGATTACTTTGTTGATTGGTTGGTCAGTAGCTCAAACATTGACTAAAGTGACAATGATGTCTAAAGCAGTGTAAGAATAAAATGATGAATAAGACAGAGTAGGGTTTCGAACACTATTTAGAAGTCAATAAATAATAATTGAAAAGCTATTTGGAACTGATGGCTACTTTGACATGGGAATCTTTCTTCATCTACATTCCGGGGATGAAGAATTGAAGATAATGGTAATTAATACTAATAGTAACAAATGTGGGTAAAACCAGAGTGTCCTAGAAGAATATGTTAGAAATCCTACTCAATAAAACATGCTGAAGGAAGACGCTTTTGAAGCGCAAAAATGTAAGTGTGGTCACTATTCTCAAGGTAAATTAAAATGTCACCATTTCTATATCATTTCATCATCACAGCAGAATAAAAAAAATTATTCTTGGTTTCACTAGCTAAAAATATCCAAGTATTGAAGACAAATCTCCACTTAAAAAATATAGCCATTTTTGCTCAGATAGCAAGGCATCATTTTGTTTCTTTTAAGGCTTCCCTTGAAGTGCATTTGAATATACTTTTATCTGCATAAGCATTTTTTAGGGAGAGAAACAGTGACACCTACATTCATGACATGGCTATTCTCATACCCTTTCAAGAAGCCTCATTTATACTTAATCTTGAACAAAGTCCAAGATTAAGATAATACAGTACTAGAGATTCCAATTAATTTTTATTAAAACTCTTCTTGCATGACTTCTCTTGGCCCAAATTGAGATGCTTAAGGAATTTGAATCTAACTAATTAAAATGGCAATATTACCAACTTTAAATACCCAGAAATCTACTGACAAATATGTTTTCATAAAACATGATATGTTATTCCACACATTTATTAAATATTCATATTTGATTGAGAATATGTATTTTTAAAACAAACAAACTGACAACCAAAAATGTCTTTAGATTGGTTTCTTCAAAAAGGGTCTCTGTCTCTCAAAACAGACCCACAATAAAGTATAAACAAATAAGCCAGCACATACAGTAGCCAGAACAAACAACAAAAAACTGTCAGAGTTGGTTTTTTTTGAGCCCCAGACAATCATTTGAGGGTTGGCAAAGTGCCTTGCTTAATTTCCTAGTCAAAAGAGGGTAAACTACATCATTTGCTGTGACCAGATGGAAACAAAGTGTCTTTAAGTATACAGGTAGTGCTTTACTTCAGGATTACCACCCTATGCAACTGTAGGTTCTTTTGCAACATGCTGATTAGTAAAAAAAAATACTTAGGCACTTATTAATTTCATCTAATTCTAAAAGAAAGCTTAGGAGGTCACAAGCTGTGGACTTTGCATCTTGGTTATCACAAAATTAATGACCCAAGGCAATGAAGTCTTTGACTTCATGTACAGAAGATACGTCCTCTACTGCTTATTCACCTGTCCTTTACCCAAGCCAGTCCAAGAAATCAGAATGTTTGCGAAATTTGAAATCAGATTATCTTTCCTACTACTACCCAAGCTACTTCTGGATAAGTTCTAGCTAAGAACTTCCATCTCTACGACTATCTTCCCAGCAAAATTCATTGTTGAGGGAAAAGAATCCACAACTCTACAAACTATATATGTATATCAGCCATTCTAATTTTTAAAATTGCATGAAAACACACACTCAAGTTATAAAAATTCTATTTTGTTTTCATGAAACACAAAGGCAAGTTCAATATTTAGATTCAATTCTAGAGTGGAATGCTTTTTGGCCAACTTTTGACCCTGGGATAAAGGTAGCAATTTAAAATCCTGGAAAGTAGGGTCTTATGTGATAAATTTTTATGTGTAAGATAGCCCATAAATTAAGTTAAATTACTTAACTTCTCCCCACCCCCCACCATTAGTTTAAATGGTCCATTTAGTCAAATGACTGGCCTGTTAAGATGATTTAGAACTTAAATATAAAACAGAAGAATGCTTATCCTTAATGTAGAATATAACAAATGATCAAACATTGAGGTTAGATATTTGACATTGTATTTAGATATATTTTCATTAATCTTCTAAAATGGCAAGTCCAGCAATAGTTGTCCATTTTACTGCAGCCATCTCATTGCAATTTCAGGAGATGCAGATCAAACTTAGTATTATACTCTTTTTTTCATTTCCCAGTTTTTCTCATCTCTTATACAGTATTTCTTGTCATAAGAATGTATTTACATATTTACATTTTATAATAGTGGAGGTTGCATCTGAAATATTAATTATCCAAAACAAGTTAAATGCCAATACCAACCAAAAATGTCATATTTGTTGCACTGCATTTGCAAAAGAGTTAGGAAAGAGCCCTGGTTGACAGAGTTAAGTTCCTTGGCCAAAAAAGGTGTGTTTTGTTTTGTTTTCAATTGACCATAGTTAATTAAATAACCAATATTAACTGCAAATTAGCTTTAATTTTTTCAGTGTGAAAAATTGAAGATCATATACTAACCAAATTCATATAATATTTCCTTTAGTGTTTAACATTTTCTAAGTAGCCATAGCATTTTCATATGGAATGTGAGACCAGAACTTTTGAAGAGAACTGGGATTTGGAAATGCAGATGGGGAAAGAAGGATGGGGAGTATAGATTAGAACCTGGTATGCTATGCACTACTTACCTTCAAAAGTCAAATAAAACTTTCCTCTGTCAAACCAAACGAGGGAAGGCTGTTCATTCTCTGTATGGCCAGGAGTTGAAGCGGGATGGGAAGGGTTAAGGAAAGGGAGAGAGAAGGACACAATGTGAGTTACAGAGCAGGTCATTAATCTCACTACAGGGAAGGGTGGAGGCACTACATGCCATTAGCGTGCAGGAAAAAGGGAAGGCTGGCAATCTATGCATTTTTTTTCTTTTTTTTTTTTTTTTAGTTCAGGAAACAAAAAGCAAAAGCAAAGCTATGGAGGCCTAAAGGAATGGGCACGTGTTGGTGGTTGCTTGACATTTGGTGCTTGTGTGCATGGAGTGGAAGTCTTCCTGGCCATGCAGGGGCGTCAGCATATTTTAACTGCACTAATTTGGGCAAACTGTCATTCAGCAATGGCTGTATCCATTTCATCTTCAATGTCATCCCCTTCTATGTTTCCAGAAAGATAAACTCAGAGTTACGGATCGTAGAAAACATTAGCTTAGGTTTTAAATGACAAAGCATTGCATATCAACATAAATTTCAGGGAAGATGTCAGATATCTTCCTTTCCCCTCCCCTGGAATCGCCTTAGGCATCCAGACACAAAACACCCTTTACCTATGTACCAAAGAGAAAACAAGATTACTAATGATGCTCTATTATTTTTTAAATTAAAAAGCAGTGACCGGACATGTAATTCTGAGCAGTTAAATTATTCCTTCCTCTGTAAAGTCACAAAGCGATAGCATCTCACCTTTTTCTTTTGAACCTCTTCACTGAGAAACTGTCATGCAACCTGCTGCTTTTTAATACAGTCATTTAAAAACTTTCAGTGGCGTGAGTCCTACAATGAACAGTAAATATACAGGGTGCATCTGAGAGGCACTGGACACTCATGAGGTGAGGAGCATGTCCATGAAGTTTATAGCATTCAGATGGATAATGGCTTGGATTTTTGAAATCTAGGTCTCTAGAGATCACTTGGCTAGCACCATACCTGCAGGCGTTTCACAGCGCCTTTCAAACGAGGGCAGTTTGTCATAAAAAACATCATCTTCTGACACTACGAACCAAAGAAACATAAACGAATGGAAAAGAAAAACACAAATACAAATCCCAAATGAAATCAAGAAGCCCGCTCTACCGACTGGAACACAGGAATGATTTTAATGGAAAAAGGAAACAAAATTTAAAACACTGGAATTATGATTTCGTTATTAAAATGTGTTTTGCTTATTTTGTGATGATTCTATGAGAGAAATTAAAATGTTAAAAAATGCCAGCGTTTAGCATCTGTGAATTTGTCTGAAGTCGGCTCCAGGGAAGAAGTCACGCCCTACCTTCTCAGGGAGTTGCTAAAGGAATTGTCATTAATAATTGACTTATGCAAGTGTGTTTCACTCCAACACAGTTCTCAAGTGGTCAGACATATGTCCATCAACAAGAATCTCCTGACAGAGCCCTGACAGCTCAATAGGATCACTCAGCATGAACCTTCCTCCCATGGGAAAGTAGATGCTTTCAACGTTACCATAAAAAAGCAACAGTGTAAATCCAAGGTCCCTGCATGAATTATCCCATTTCAGCCTCATCAATATCCAAATTCAATTTGCCTTGCACCTGATCGTTATAGACTGTTAATTTTGAACAGCATTATCATAATATCATCTTTGTCTATGGTATCCAGCTGTGGCTAAATGTCTTTGTAAGTTGGTCACAAAAGCATGAGTTGGTGCTCTAGAGTTTAACCGATTTAGCTCTTTACAAGGTCTCTCTTCTCAGCAACGAACAAATGCAAGTAATTGGGATTTTGACTCTATGTGATTTTAAAAAAGTACTCAGTGCCACAGGTCTTATGCATAATATTACAATTTTAATAGAAAATTGAATAAAATTTGTACAAAGACCAGTAAGAAAGAAAAATGCTGAGAAGGAAATGGATTAGGGTAGAAAAAAATATTCCACAAATAATAATGTTCCTTGAAAAATATTCTGTTAGCCTGACTCCATATTTACAATTTAATGATGATATTCCTCATTATCTCTATTGTTATCTCTGTATCTTGAAAGGTCTAGTAGCTTGTTTCTTAGAATAACTTTAAGCAATTTCCCTATCCCTATAATATTAATATGATTTCCCCCCAAATCATATAGTAGCAGTCCTGTGAGCTTTTACTGGTGCAAAATAACTTACTGTTCTTCATTGATTCTTTTTATTTATTTATTTATTTTTTATTTTTAAAGACTGAGATGAGGATTTTGTTGTGTTGCCCAGGCTGTTCTTGAACTCCTGGGCTCAAGTAATCCTCCCATCTCAGCTGGGATTACCACCAGATTACCACCACACACCAGAAAGCCTGGTCCATTGATTCTAAACTGTGCACTTTTTCACATTCTAACCTGTCTGAAATAATTAATGTGATAAAAAAGCATTTTATCTTAGCTCAACTGGCAGTTTTCTCCCCCTTTCTTAGTCATATACAAAATAATGGTGCATTTTTCAGTCGAGGGTGTCTTTAAACCAGTCAAAGGCAGCTGTATGGGAGCTCTTCCTTATTCTAGTGTGACAACACAAAAAAGTTCTGTTTTTAGGTGTAGCATCAGATTTGCTATTGTGTAACCACAGCTGCCATGGGAAATCTCACATCCAAAGTCATTTAGGGGCAATTTTCTTATATGAATTGCTGTGCGGAAGGTTTAGACTTGCTCTTAAAACTTCAGTTTTTGAATTACTTTAAATTTGTCCCAATTTTGGCTCAAGTACCATAGGAAACGTCAAAAAAAGTATGTGGTGGGAGGGAAATGTTGAGCTATCAACTTCAGAGAATTTGCTGCTGAAGTTCTCTACCTCCCTCACACCATTTGACTACATTAAGTTGACATTCCAAATCAGTCATGATTAGGTCCTTTGGTGCTGGACAGCCAAAGCGCATCCTCTCCGGAGAGAAAGCGCAGTGCACAGGAAGCCTTGGGACAGTCAGTCTCCACAGTATATTTACTTCAGAAAAAAGTGGCTGTCAGGTGACCCACAGCAGGTGAAAAGACAGAGCAGGAGGGTGAGGAATTCAACAGGAAGATGAACACCAAATAAAGGTAACGAAACCAAACAAAATCAGTATGCTCCTCAATAATGAAGCAACGTGACTATCCTCTTACATGGCTATTTTTTTAAAAAAAAAAATCCACTCTGGTTCATCTTGAAAGAACCCATACTAGATGTGTTAAGAATCAAAGTTTCTGGCCAGGATTTGAGATTTCTGCAGCAGAGAGTATAGAAACACATTGTACAAAACATGTACAAAGTTCAATTCTTTGTGTGTGCTATTTTCTCTATGAACCACAGTGCATTGAAAGAACATGTTACAGGTTTATCTGAGGTCACTTGAGATTCAGCTTTCTGAGTGACAGTTTACTCTTACTTTCTTCTCTGACCAACAAGGCAAATCACATGAAGTAGGTGAAACAACTAATCTCGAAAAAAGAGTGGCAGTGTGGGGAATGGCCTGTAGCAATCAAGGATTATTAAAGAGATAGAGTTAAAAAAAAAAGTTACAGAACAATACAAACAAACAAACAAACACAAAAGGGAAATGAGTTACTAGGCATTGGAAGGTAGGAAGCCCCAAATTGCCCCAATTGATGTTGCAGACAGAAACAAACCTGGCTACATAAATAATGTCAAATATCTGTCTGTTACTAACTCACATGAAACTAGGTAACTGGCTATATTTTCACCAAACTTGAAAGGTTCTTTTGGGAGGATCTGATTAAAGATATAAAGCATGTGATATAGTTGAAATTCTCTTTGGGGGCCTTAAGAGGCACACTTTAACTTATATTTCTGTGAAAACAGGCAGTTCTTTCTCTGGAAGAGCTTCAGGCTTTGACCAACCTACTTCTCACAGGTTGTGCAGTGAGAAGGCAACTGTGCAGTCTGTTCTTCCAAGAGTAGCAGAAGGAATTTATTTAGCTTTAGCTAATGATTCTCCCAAGCAATGTGGGATGGGCCAGGTGGTTTACACTATGGAAGAGCCGGAGGGGAGTTCCGATAATAAAGGAAGACAATGGGGAATGGGGATTCCATGGGAAAAATGGAACGGGAAAGCCCTAGGTGGGAGACATGATGCAAAAATGAGAGAGGCAGCAGGAACCTGTCTCCTACTGGAGGTGGAAAAGAGAGAGACCAGCTTTGGAAAGGGGGATGGTGCTCCAGGCAAAATAAAGCACTGATACCTTGGAAAACCATCCGGCTGAACAGCCATTCTTAACACTTTCATCACAGCATAAGGAAGGAGGCACAAAAGCATTTACTGAAAATGCCACCAACTACTTATTTCTCTAGGAAAATTGACCACACATCACCGAAAGCACTAGAAAAGAATGTCGAAAAGTTTGCTCAAGTCTCACAATGCCAGTGTTTATACCATTTGTCAACATAAGGACAACCAAAAATGATGAAGAAATGAGAGCTTCAAGAAAATACAAGTTCTAAATTTTGTGATTTCTGATGTGGTACATGGTTGGAATTTAAATAACATTTCCCCTCAAAGGAGACTTTTTGTTTTAAGAAATGATATCTAAATTACAAGACCTTCCTTGGCAATTTCTTCTTTATTTTTTTGAATAGCTCTGTAAGGAACACCATAAGAAAATTCCTGCAAAATACAGGTGTTAATGTTCTTGTATTTGTTTATTTGCGTAGGTAAAACACTTTGCCTCCTTTGCTGAGAAGGTGGTTTTAAAAGAAGTCAGGTGATAGTAGCAAAACACACAGCAAAACAATTTCAACCAGAAACACAGGGCCTTGGGGATTTCAGATCATAAAAAATAGCCAGTCAAAACTACAAACAGATTAAAAGAGAGGAGAGAATTTTTACCAACTGTGGGAGTAGTGGCTGCGCTCAAGGAATTGGTTGACGATATTGAAGAAGTGCTTTCAGCCCGCGCTAAGGGTGCTATTGGAGGAGGGCTGGAAGAATGAATGGGAGGGCTAAAAGGTCTGGACTGTAGGGAGAAGAAAAGAGATGAGAAGTTAGATACACAGGTTGCGGTTTTTGCTTTATATTTTTAATGTCTCCCAGCCCCAGATATGACAACTTAGGTTTTTAAAAAGTAGATGACACCATTTTACACTGAAATTAATTATATCTATACGAGAGTTTGTGGAGTGGAGAGTTTATGGAATTTTCTGGAGAAACTGTAAACCATAACATGCTAAACTATAAACTGTAACATGCTAAACCTGAGCTTAGGGAAGCTGGCGTCTGTGACATGATCAGCAGGTCTGTTTCAGGACTGAACTCACATGCCCTCAGGGACTCAGCAAGTGACACAGGGTGAGAGCTCATACTCATCTAAAGCTAACAAAATACAAAAATACTGCACTGTGCTAGTCCAGCCAAATATTATGGATGTCATCAGTTTGTGGCTCCTGTGTGCAAATGCCAAAGAAATCTACCTCTGCCACAAGTCTCTCCTAATTGTTCACACAGAATGTTTTCCACTCCTCAACCTTAAACACAGAATATTTTCCACTCCTCAGCCTTAAACACAGAATATTTTCCACTCCTCAGCCTTAAAATGCAATGCAAGAAACTTTCGCAACAAATTCCTCATGCCACTGCTCCTTCGCTGTATATTCACATAGTGTGCATACTATCAGTAAGTCATCTGTATTCTGGGGTCAGAAGCCAGGATTCGCTCTCTCCTGGAGTTTTCTAACAGCAGACAAATATTGTGAAACACCTGTCTTTCTAAAGGATTTAGTGCAATTGAATGTGATTATCGGCATTTGCATCTAACCCACTATAGCAGAGGTGAGGGCCCAAGCATCCTATTCCTATCATTTTAGATCTTGGCTTGAAGATGGTAGAAATTTGAGGAGGGTTGAAATGTACACTCATACCACAGTGACTATCTTTCAGATGCCACCTGTTGGGGTTGTTTGTATAAGTCCTCTAAACGCTTAGACCTGAAGGCATTTGGAGCTTCTGTTTGTCATTTTCACCGTTTCTGAGCAAGCCAGGGCAGAGGGGAACATACCACATCTCCAACTCCAGGCTTTCCTGGAGGTAGCTTTGGTCGGGATGGAGGCCGGGGAGGGGGCGGAGGTGGAGTGGTACTGCTGCAAGGAACCAAAGGAGTGGCTGGTCGAGCAGGGGATGATGCACCTGAAAAACAAGCTAGTATTAAAAATGGCTGGAAACACAGGGGGCCAAAGCGCTGTTATCACAGTACAATGCCAGTCCCAGACACTTAAAATTTTTTTTTTTTTTGCCTTGGCAGTTACTACACTAAACACTGTAGCACTTTTTTTTTCTCTTTTTTTTCTTAATAAAGAAAAAAAATTTACTCCGTTCATCTATGGTTGATGGCAGAAGCTCATTGCCTTTTGTTGCCATGTGACACCCAGTGAAAGGTAAATCCTTTTATGCTCTATGACAGAAGGTAAAGTCTTAAGACTCTTGGCTGTGTGGTAGGTACCCTTCATTATCATCGCATACACACTAAACACATAACAAATTCTCTTGCATTTTGCATGTATTTGGAATTTGTTTATGTCCGAGATGATAATGGGAGATTAGAACATGAAGGAAGATGATTTTTCCACTTTAGGTTTTTCTTCTTTAAACATGATAAGAGAATTATGCTTTTGACTGTGGTCAAATTATGAGAGCCAACTTTATCAATGTACCCAAACACTGGAGGGTAAGCAAAAGACAAAATATAAGAAAATAAGTTAGATGTTGCATGAATACTTTGTATTTAGAATCTTAATAGAAATGCATTGAATTTAGAAGATCTTATTTTGTGAAGGAGGCTGCTTAGGAATCTGTCAAGGCGGAGTTTGCCCATGATGATTTTTTGGAAGAGCCTCTTGGATTTACTTTTCTGGCTGTCAATGACAAGCATATGAAACACAGAAGACACACAGAGGCTGGCATGCACATCAGTCAGCACACCAGTGGGGTCTCTGGATTCAGGAATCTGCCTAACTTCAGTCGTATGTCTGAGATACACAGGGAAACTTGACTGAAAACCTTAAAAAAAAAAAAGTCAAATCAATGTTCAAACAGTTCTTGCTTAGCAAAGTTCCGACTACTCCTGAGGTTTTTGTCACTTCTGTTAGAAGCAGAGGTATCAAATCATCCCAAGAAAATTCTCAGAAATCCTGCCCTAGGGAAATATCCACACATCATCCCCCACACCTGCCGCCCCTTTGCTGCCTCCCAAACAACACACCACAAAACTGGGACCTCTGGAGAGTTCTAGATTAGCATCTCAGTCTCCAAATTTTCAGATTCTCAAGAGCTTTAAAGTTGAGCAGCAAAACCTATCATTTCAGAAATCTTCTCTGTTTAGGAGAGTCCCTGGGGGATTAAACCTTGCTCCTCTTGTTTAAATAATCTGAAATCCTGAGTGTATTTCTCTGTGCTGTTTATTCTGTATGTAATCACATTAGTGTGAAATCCTACCAATTATTTCTTCCACTCCCTCTATATCTCCCCCTTCCTCTACTACTACCACCCATATTCTTACTTTTTATTCTCCATTGGGTCAGGGTCTATGCTAAGCACTTTATATATATTATCTTATCCCCTTGATAAATGTTGGAGGTAGGTATTATTAGGTATTTATGCGGAATCTGGAGATCAGAGATTCAGTAACTTGTCCAAGGGCAGATAGCTTAAACTGCGTATGTACCTCCAAAACCCATACTCTTAAATGCAATCTCTTATAGTTTGAGATGGACTGTGGTGTAGACTCCCACATTTTGCATAAAGTCTGTTCTTACTTTTGCTTGGCTTGCACATTTCCCTTTCAATATAGATGTTTTTAGTCTTTTGCTAATCTTCTCTTAAAAATAAATGGTATGTTTTCACAGGCCCCACTACAAAGTTTTCTTTTGATTATTGTGTTAGTAGATTTACATCCAGGATGTTTTCAGAAGACAGAAGTAACAGCATAGCGTAAATAAATCTTCAAACAGTGAAGTCTTAGGATTTTTTTTTTTTTTTTGATGATGTTGGAGGAGGAGTTGTTCTATTTAGCTTGATGAAAACAATACCATAGGAATGGTCCAGAACGTCTATCTGTAGGTCTGTTTCCAAGAAACAGTCTTTTGAATCAATCTCAAAAAAATGCCAGCTGTTTATTCTTTTCCTACATGTTCCAGAAAAAAAAATTAAAACTCCTTTCAGTGATGCCTGGGAAAGTACTAAGGAGCCATCATCAGGGCAGTGTGGAATACTGAAAAACACTGGATGGAGAACCAGGTGATTTGAGTTCTGGCCTTGCTGGCTTGAAATCTCAGCTTCCTTATTTTTAAAAGTGAGACACTGTTTCTATCTTGCAAGGTATTTGTAACAAATAAAATTGAAAATGCTTATGAAAATGTTGACTATATAAAATTTTACACAAATAGAAAGTAATAGATACTGGTGATGATGATTAAGATTGTGTTTTTTCGATACAAATACAACTAAAAAGTTAAAAAAGTTAGTTGTTAATTGAAAATTGTTTTCCTTTATGGATGCCCCATTGAAATCACTTTTTCTGTACTGAATTGAAGTAATTGATTTGTTGTGCAGCTAGAAAGACACTAAGAAAGAGTGTCTAAGAAGCAAAAGAGTATTTCAGTTAAAACCCTGCTTGACCAAACCCTGAGGTTCAGCAGAGGATGTTCAGGGCCTGAGGAGTATTTCACAACTGAACTAAGGCTTCACATACTTTTGTGAAATTACCCAATCATTTCATATGTTAAGAATGTAGATGGCTATCCTTGTGCATCTTTATCCTCACTCTTCAATTTTCAATTGCATTTTCATTTCCCCCTTAAAGAGTGTTTATTTCCAGAACAATGCTGGAAAATGATTTGGACAGCCCCACTCTTTAAGGTTTAAAATAAAAAACCAAAATACATTGAGTTTTGTGAGTTAAAAAGGTTGGCAACCATTGACATGCTCTCAATCCATTTGTTGTTCTCAACCTGGTTTAATCAATTTCCTTGGCAACCTCCGAAGACCGCATATCTACAGCTGCAAATTTCATCTCCTTTTTTAAATGTGTGTGTTGGGCTGGAGCAGTGGAAGCAGCTGGGAGAAGTGGTCAAAGCGCAGCCCATGGAATCCAACAGATGCGGGGGCCAGATCCTGGCTCTGCAACTTACTAGCTTTATGACCACAGCTAAGCTACCTTTTTGAGCTTGTTTCCTTATCCACAAAATGAGGTTAAAAGACCATGCTGTTCCTGGGAGAATCAAGTGAATTAAAACATACGCACTTTGAGATATGTGAAGAACTAAACAACCTTTCCCACATTGTGTTTCTTAGAACATAATTATACCATTTCTTTGAAAAAAACTATTAAATATGTATGTAAATGATTATATGCTATGTTTCTCTTTTTGATGACTAACATATTAAAAGCCCTGAAACATTACTAACAGAACTTTCTGCCATGTGAAAATGTTCTAGAACTGTTAGTAGATTTGCTAGCCACATATAGCCACTGAGCACTTGAATTGTGGCTACAGTATGTAAAGAATGAAGTTTTTATAGTAATGTTGAGCAACTAAGAGTATAATTAAAATAACCCCACGTGGCTAGGGACTACTGTATTGGACATCGCTGCTCTGAAAGACTTGTAGTTAGGAAATATATTCGGTTAATTTAACCCCAGGTAGCTCAGACTCATTTGTATATTGACTTGTAATGTTTGCATATAACATCGTTAGTTTCCCAAGTTGGAAAATGCTGCACTGAACATTCTTTACTTACTCCTTTCTTTCCCTGGCCCCCAAACACGGTGCAAGCCAACAAAACTCTTTCCCCCTCAACCTCTGGCACGCAACCCACGTGGGAGAAGAGATACCCTTTGCCAAGAACCAGTGTCTGCATTCTAGTTAAGTACTGTTCTGGCCAAAATAGGTATTTATAACTTTTTGCCATAAGGAAATTGAAGTTCTGGGAGCAAATTCTTAACTTCCACCTGCTTTTCAACAGCAGGTAACTCTTCTGGTTCACAAGGTTGTCAGTACTGTCTGTGCTTGGTCAGTGACAGTCACCATGCTGTGAATACAATTTTAAAAATGAGTGCATAGTGGTATATAATTAAATATGCTTTGAGAAGTGCAAGAAAGTTAGTTTCATCAGGCCTAATGCTATAAAAAGCAAGTAGTGAGAACCATTGCTAATCTTTAAAACATGAGGCCATAACCTATTGTATCAATCTCAAATTTATATTTCTGCCAGCTTGTGTATGTTCTATCAACGAAAGATTAAGCAGCAAATAAACTGGGACTTAATTAAGGAGATAATGCTGCTGAGCTTTAGTTATTCATGGGCTTCAGTGACCCAGTTCAATCTTCTACTTAGAAATCCAATCTTTTAATACTAGTAAAGTCAAGCTATTTCCAGCTCAATTATTAAGAATCAAGTCTTTACTGGTAACATTTTAAAATAATTTCAAATAAGGATATGGAAGCTAAACATTAAAAATCACCACAAAACTCTCAAATTTTCCAGAAGGAAAACAAACGTTCCTTTCTTCCTAATTAGATCAGTGATAAATTCAATTGAACAAGTATCTTTGAGAGCTTTATGAAAGGTGTTAGATGAAACACAGATGAATTACCAAAGCCACCTGTCCTCCCTACGCCTGGCTAAAGGTGTTTCTTTTGAGGAGAGCATTGTGGCCTACCTGTGGAGGGAGGTGGGTATTCTTTAAATGTCCTTTCAGAAGACTGAGGGCCTGGATTAGGAGAGCTGCATAGAAAACAGAAGTACACAGCCCTCTTTTACAATGGACCACTAATGTCTTTCTGGGTGTGTGGTTGGAGGCTTTACATAGTGATTCTTTATTATCTTTACAGATTGATAAGGAGCTTTGTATCCCATAAAAGACCAAAAAAAATAATAGAGGGATGAAGATGGATGCTGTAACCCTCTAGAATTAGGGAGAGGAACACAGAGGAGTACATTTTGAGGAAGACTTTTGGTGATCTTGTTGATAACACTGGGCAGTGCAGACAGGTCTCAGCAGTCAAATAAGTTTGGAATGTTTATGACTAAATCTTACAAAAGTGCCTGGAAAGCACACCAGTTAACAGCATAGGCTCCGGATCAGACAGAGCTGAGTATGAATCCAGTCCATTGCCTCCAGCTTGTAAATTTGGGCAAATTACTTGATATCTCTGAGCCTCAGTTTTCCCATCTGTAAAATGGGAAAAATAACAGTATCTACCACATGCTGTTGTTGTATGAAATAATGTACAAAAAGCATTTAGGCCAAAAAGCAGATAGGGCTGGGCGCAGTGGCTCACGCCTGTAATCCCAGCATTTTGGCAGTATGAGGCAGGTGGATCACTTGAAGCTAGGAGTTTGAGACCAGCCTGGCCAATATGGTGAAGCCCTGTCTCTGCTGAAAATACAAAAAAATTAGCCCGGTGTGGTTGCACACACTTGTAATTCCAGCTGCTAGGGAGGATAAGGCAGGAGAATCACTTGAACCCAGAAGACTGTAGCCCAGAGGTTACAGTAAGCCAGCATGGCACCTCTGCATTCCAGCCTGGGTATCAGAGCAACTCTCTGTCTAACAACAAAGCAAAACAAAGCAAACAAACAGCATGGTGCCCAGGAGAAGAAACTATAGTTTCTATTATTTGCAAAGTAAAGACTCCCAAAGGTCTTATGGTAAAAATACTTGCTGATTTTGAATAGTTTTCGTTTTGGGGGGATGAGGACCTGGTGGGATACGCACCTAATGATAAAAAACATTGGTTTTGTGTGCAGTACAGGTGAACACCTAGCCCTCTTCTTGACCACCATGGATGCTCTCACTTTAAGCACAGAAGGATTTGTAAGCACAGAGCAAATTCTGAAAGACCTCATTGAAAGAGACAGTGATGATGACCAAATAGTAGAATTTCTGTCTCTTACTAGATTTAAGCACCTTGTACTTTACTGCCTCTTTCACATCAAATGCAAAACAAATACATGGCACCCCCCGAAGGTCCCTAAACCGAACTCACATGCACAGGAAGGAAAGCACTGGGGGATGTTGTCAGACAAATTTGGGCAACAGTGGAATAAATGATATAGAGGAAGATGCATTTGAAAATCTTGATATTGCTTTGGTGTGCATGGCAGGTGATCCATGCTTTCATTGTTAAAAAACCCAAAATGAAGCTTCAAATAAGGAAAAACAATAAAATTCAATGTCAGAATCGGCAGACTCCATCACCTGTCACCACACTTAGAGTTGACCTCATAGCCTGATGAGTGTGTCAAATAGTGAGAACAGAAAACAAGTCTGTCTTCAGTGATAGCTTGATTAGATTAGTGTTGCAGTATATGTATCCTGTTTTTTTCTTTTGTCGTTTCCTAAAATGTCCTTTTTAAGCCTTACATCTTTTCTTCTAAAGAAATCAGAGGGGTTAACACAGTTCTTCCACAACCAAAAAAAAAAAAAAAGAAAAGAAAAAAATAAAAGAAGCCCATTCACCCTCTCCTGCCTGCCTACATATACACACAACACACTGAACCACAAAACCTAGTGTCCTTGTGGAGGCATCCAACAAGGAAATCAGACATTTAACATGAAATCCACTCTCTGTGAAATCTGTCTTCCTAGGACTTTCCTGAATTCCAAACAATGGCATGACAGCTTTGTTTTAGAAATCGAGACCTCCTAAATGCAGGGTGGACAGCAGGGCACACCTAAGGGCTGGGAGTGCAAGGCAGAACACATCCACAGACTTGGACCATGACTGCGAGCATCTGATGAACTAGGACATGCTGTGGGGCCACAGGGCACCCAGACCAGAGGCGTGAGGGCTGAAGCTCTGAAGCCAGCTGCCAGGCAGGAGGAGGGTGTTGCCCACACTGCAGCAGCCATGGCCATTCCCCGTCACACGAAGCACACTCAAGCGTAAGACATACCACTGGTGGTCCCCGTACCAGGGCCTGAGCCAGGTCCGGGGGACGAAACCACAGTCCTGTAGGTGGGTGGTGGTGGGGGAGGTGGAGTTGCTCTCTGTCCCAACCCAAAATCTTTAGGAGATGAGATTGTTTCTAAGTAATCATCTTTGATGAAGGTCTGTTCAGCGACTTTCTTCTGGACTTCTTCTAAATTGAGCGGCGATGGTACATGGCGAGGAGGCCCCGGAGGCCCTGGGGGGCCTGTGGGACCTGGGTGGCCAGGAGGGCCTGGAGCTGGGGAGTCAGCTGGGTTGTCTGGTGTAGCTGGTGGGGACACCATTTTTTCCTTTGGAGTCAACTCCGGAGTCACATGGTCCGGGGATGTATCAGAAAAATGGACCCACTTTTCTTCAGCATTAACAGCAACAGACTTGGGGGACAAAACTGGGCCAAAAATGCTGTCCAAGTCATTGATGGATGGTAGCTTTTCAATTTTGACCTCTGTGGCTGACTGGTCATTTCCTGTGGTTAAAGTAGTTGATTTTAAACTTTAATTGACTTATTATTTGTGTGGGGAGTGAGGGAGGGAGGCAAAGATTGGAAGATACATTGATGTGTGAGGTGCCTCAGTGGGCATACTTGATGATATAAAAATATCTCTGTTGGATTAGGAGCTGAAGGTAGGGGGAGAGATCTCCCACTCCATAAAGTGAGCATCATATTTTTATGCTATTATTTACTCTTTTTTGCAAGCTGAGCACAGCTAGCTACTTTTACCGTCATTTAAAGTGCTGTGCATGATACTGCTCTCAAAGGCTGCCCACAGGTGAACACAGTGTGAACATTTTGACAAGACAGTGTTAGATTCACAGAGAAGTACAGGCTCTGGGACTTCTCCAAAAAGCAAGGTCCAAAAGCAAGGTCCCTTCTGAAAATCTGGCCTACTGAAATACACATCACACAATATAAAAAGAATTGAGAAGTGAAAGACGCCCTCATATTTTATAAAGATTATCTACTCTAGTATACCAAATCAAGACTTTGGTGAAACTGATTATAATATTCATTAATTAAAAAAAATCACATCATATTTAGCTGTATATCCTTAACCTTAAAAACACCAGAAACACAGTACAAAGATTAAGAAGTTATCACCACAAAGATACAAATACAGATATACACACCCCGTACACAACACACACACAGATTATTGAGGAGGCATTTGCTACTTATTAGAACCGTTACATATCTACCTGCTTAATAGGGAAGAAAATAATTTTAAAAACGTTTATAATTTCTTTTCTCATTAAGTCTGACCTGTAAACATCATAGGCATAACTGATATTCAGTTATAGGGTATCATGATACCGAAAAGTCTCTGTTTTGCTAAAACATCAGCATAAGCTATTCTTTTTAATTCATAGCAATAAGAGAAAAAATTAAAAACTATCTTCTACAGCTCTGTATGAAGAAATGCACTTTTTAAAAACTGAGATTATTCACATTAGAAATTGTTACCTAAATAACTGAAAAGCAAGAGCAGAAGTCACTTTACTTTTATATAACTCTTGAACTAGATGAACTATCTTAGTATTTCTATATTTCTGACTTAAAAGGAATTAATTTTCAAGGTTCCAAGGCTGCAGATAAATGGGGAAGCATTTTGCATGGTCCGCAATATTTATAATCTTGTGCTAGTAGGTGTATTTATATCTAACACAATTTGTGGAAATACAAGGGGCCAAAATGTCTTGAACCTGCAGACATCTTTACTTATGAAGCGCCGGATGACTCTCTATTGGGTTTGAGTCAATATAAATTTCGTAAATGACTACATCTTGCTTTTGCTTTTGTTGATGAATGCCCACCGTGCAGCTATCAAACTCACCAGGCTGCATAAATAGCAAAGGATGAAGCTGCAGTAGAATTCCGAAAGTGATAAAAAGCCATGTTCTAAGGGCCCAGGCACGTAAAACAGCTATTACTACTTTTGATTTGCTAGTCCAGTAAGACTTAGTAGGCTATAAATTGTATGAATACATAGTATTGATTTTAATAGATGATAAAGGTGTGCCTTAAGAATTATCTGTCTACAGGCATGTAGCAGTTCCTTGCCATATTTCATAATCTTTACATAGCTCTTTGCCATGGGGTAATAAATACTTGAATGACCACTGGAAAAAGAATTTCCCCACCACCAGTATGCTGCATACCCTGGGAACCATTTTATGTCTTCATAGACTAGATAGTTTTAGTCTTAGGAAATTGTCTTGAAAAAATATCAATTGTGCTTTAAGACTATGAATTTGTAAATCATTAAAATGAGATCCAAAGAAGTGAGGGGTTAATTAAACAATGACTTTTCATATTGAGATTTTTTCCTTTCATTTTATAAAATGGCCCTCATTCAACAACATTATACCAAGAAAAAATTTAATTGAGAAATTATTACTAATTTTTGTGTGTGTGAAACCCAGCAGTGATGCTTTAAAACAAGTCTGCATAAGAAATTCTAATGGAAGCAAAACTAAATGGTGACACTGTAATGTTTTAGTGTAGCCTACAGTTTTCAGCACATCAAGGGCATGTTTGTCTGGGTCACTGATCTATTTGACACATCATCCCAGAACTGAAAAAACAAAAGCTTACCTGGTCCAATTGTTAAGGGGGATCCTGTTCGGGGTGGGGTAGCTGGTACGTTTTTTGGAGGCAGTGGTGGAGGTGCTGCAAAGAGATGAGAAACCAAGTATCATTGATCATGTTCTTCCTAAGTTATACAATAGATTTAAATAAGCAGGATTTGGGCTTTCAGTTATATTCCTGCTATTGGAAATGGAATAGCAATTAGTGCTCTATATAGATTTTTAGTTCAAAGTCAAAGAACTGAAGCAGAACTCATTCAGATTCTTCCATTTTATGAAAATAAGAGATCATCAAAAGAATGTCGGACAATAATATCACCATTTTATTCACTTAAATATGATTCAACACACAAACCTCAAGCCACAACTAAGTCCTGCGTCCTGTACTAGGAACTAGGGTCATAGGGTTGAATAAAAATAGCCTCTGCCCTCGAGGGATTTTTCACTGACTGAACGAAATCATGTTAGCTGACAGTAACAGTCGAAGGCTTAATCATGGAAATAACAGATTGGGTGGGGGCTCCTGTGAAAGGTTTTTAATCCAGTCAGGATTGACTGCCTGGATTGAGTCCAGAAAGATTTCTCAAAATCATATTTCTTAAATTTTAGTACATCTTTAAAAGTTACAAGCAAAGTGACCCTCCTTGGGTTAAGGAGGAATGAACAGATTCCTTCGATAAAAATTACAGCCAAAACAAGTATCATGGCCCCTACCAAGACATCCACCCTTCTGAGCTGGATTGTCACTTTGTGGGCAAAATCTGGAATTACTGTTTCAATGGGTTCATTTCTTCTTCCTCTTTCTTTAAGAGTATGTTTTCTTGTCACTGGCCCTATTTGGTAGATTCAAAGCATTCACATGAATGTCATAGGCCATCCCAAAGCTTAGTTGTGAATCTGAATGCTGTCCAATCTCTCATAACCTAAATGTAGAGGGTGGCAGGTGGGCACATGGCTGGAGAGTGCCTGCTGGTACCTTCCACCTGCCTAAATTAGGAAGAAGCTTATTCTGTCATTCCTCCCTCCTCCTCCCCTTCCCATACTTTATTTATTATTTTTAGGCAGCATCCTGTTTTTCCACACAGTAAGTATGACTAACAACCCTCATCCTAAAGCCTAGGAATATGTGGTTCTTAATCTCAGTGATGAGCTTCTGAAAACTACAGCTCTAGTGGATCATATTTTCCCACAGAAGTTAAGAGTCAATCAGGGGTTCTGCTCCTAATTAAGGATCTCTGCCAAAAATCAAGGTTATAATCAACAAAATACCATAAAAACAAATAAAATGCTATAAAAGCCTAATAATCTAAAATAGAAAACCTATGCTGCAACTACAAAATGAGCAGAATGATACAACGCACATCAACCAAACAACAGCCTCTGCTGTGATAAGTGTAACCACCACACATAAGACTCACAACTCTGAAATACCAACAGTTAAAACGAATACATCACCTCCATAAACAATTCATTTACTCTCTTGACATTTAGGAAAGGGTTTACCAGGGATCACTTGGATAGCTCAGGTCTGTAATGAAAGGTTTTCAAGGAAGTTACAGCTTTTTCACTGGTTTTATTTTGCAGGGAAAGACATTCAAAATCATGCCACAAAAGCATGGTTTAAATATTTTAAAAATACATTTTTTTAAAGTTAGAAGTTTAAAAAAAATTGTTGAGAATGATGTTTTTCCTATCCTGTTTAATGAAGGAAATATCTTCGGAAAGGCTAGATCACATGGCTTTATAGCAATATTATTTCCAACAAATAACCTCTTGGATTTTGATTATGAATCCCCTTGGTTAATTCTCATGATCATGTTTAGGCACCAAGAAGCAAAACTCTGGAGATGCTGAACTGGAAAAAGTATTAGTTGGTCTGTATGTGAGCCCAAAGGATGAAAATACCCCCTGCATCTCCCTGCTTGCCAAAACACCTTTTTTTGAAATCCATTTCTTCAAAGAGTGCCTTCCACAGGCATGATTCAGATGCAGTCTACTGAAAAGGGAATTCAATAAATCTGTAAGAAGGGTGGCTTCACCTGATGAGCAGTCCATCCAGTCTAAGTAGCGAACCCACCACCCGTGAAGGGCTATCTAGATTTTCAGGATCTCCTTCCCCAGCCGCCTGGGCCATGCCAAAGAAGCCAGGCTAATGGCAACTTTCACATAAATTTACCCTGATCTAGTGTCTCACTTTCTCTCTACCATGTAGCCTCATTTCTCTTGTTCCCTAATTGTCACTCTTTCCTATCAATGTGTCCTTCCTGTCCTGTGCAACCTCAGTTGTTCTGTAGGACGAGCTGAGACCATATCAGACTTGTTCACCTCTGTGATGTATGATAGCCTAATGCCTGGAACACAGTAGGTTATTTAGCGCACTTGCTTCTTATTCTTACATATATACAATGAATAAATATATACATTAATAAATTCACTTATTCATTGTATATATGTACAATATAAATATGTAATATATATTTATTCATTGTATATATGTAAGAATAATAAGCAAGTGGGCTAAATAACCTATTACATTCATATATACAATGAATAAATGAATGAATAAGCACGTGGGATTTCAGATATATACATATTTTTACATATATACAATGAATGAATGAATGAACACTTGGGATTTCAGAAAAGGCTATGATTCAAGGTTAATAATTTGCTTTATTGTGTTATTTTCCACCTGTCTTCATAACCTGCCCTGAGCTCTTTAACTTGAAAGCCTGTGAGAATAACATCTCTTCTTAATATTACTCAGTTCTAATGTTGCTTATGTAGACTTTCTAAGAGTTGCCTAATTTCACTATGCAGACAGACAGTAAAATGAGTCACTTATTTTTCCAGACAGAGCAGACACATAACTTACTTCCAGTGGGAAAAGGCCTTGTTAACTTTGGCGACTCCATGCTTGGATTAATTGGTTGGCCTGAACCCCATATCTCAGGTTGATCTAAAAGAACTGGAAACAAAAAAGAAAATGTCCCAGGGTGAGTTAAAAAAAATCCCCATACTTCAGAACTTAACATTTCAAGTTGAGCTTTACAAAATAATTTTCCTCTTGTCTCAGTACTAAAAAATTAATTTAGGAATGTGCCTCTCCTTATTCTTTTCAAGCAGAGAATAGAAAGAGGAGTGTGGTGTGAGTGTGGGTGGGAGGAGTGTCTGTGTGTGTACATATAGCTATATAAAAACTTTCAGAGCAGAATCTGCATTTTCTTTTGGGTGGTCACTTAAGGACATTCTGAGTATCAGCAGAAGTGCTGGCTCTGTCTCAGGTGCCCATCTGAAAATCCAAACATTAACCCCCTGGACACTTGTTTTGTTGTAAGTTGGTTTATTTAAAGTCTCCTATGAATATGCTTCAAAACTGAAAATGTCTGGGTTCTGTGCAGTGGTTCCTATCCTTGAAGGATTCTACAGGGTCTTTAAATAAACCTTTTACAGCATCATAAAAAGGAATTATATTATTTTAAAAATGCTTGGTGAATATGTTAAGAGAGCCAGAAAAATAAGTATTTAGATACCTAACGTAGGGCAATTAGGTTTTGGGTCTAAGGACACTAAATTTAATATTTCTTCTCCTTTTTTTCTTCCTGTTCTGATTTTTAAAATAGCTATGTCAATGTAAACAGTTAGTGCTTCTCAACACCTATCCTGTGGCAGGGACTATGCAAGTGCTGCTGTAATTCATTATGTCATCTAGGACAGACTGGGAAGTCAGTTGGATGGGGCTTGAATCTATCCTCTGCACTGACTGTAGGACTGCGGCAAGTTACTTAACCTCTCTGTGCTGCCTTCCTTCAGTGTAAAGTGGAGATAATAAAAGCGACCTTAGAGAGTTATAAGGAGGATTAATGGAGGAAAGATGTCTTAATATAGTGCATATAAAATGTATGTAAAACATGTATCAGAAGGCCAGTAGCTATTACTATTTATTTGAATACTCACAACCCCACCATGTGGTTGATACCAGTTCCACTTGTGCGAGAGGAAACTGATGATTGGAGTGGCTGAATGAGGTGTCCAGGGTAAAAGCAGAAGAGCTAAGATCTGATGCAGGCATACCTAACTCTAAAATACACATTATTTTCCCTAGGCCATTTCAATTAGTGACAGAAAAATGTTTTCTGGGCCAGGCAAGTGGCTCATAGCTATAATCCCAGCATTTTGGGAGGCTGAGGTGGGAGGATTGCTTGAGTCGAGGAGTTCAAGACCAGCTGAGCAACATGGTGAAACCCAATCTCTACAAAAAATACAAAAATTAGTCAGGTGGGGTGGCATGTGCCTGTGGTCCCAGCTACTTGCGGGGGCTGAAGCTGGAGGATCACTGTGGGAGGTCGAGGCTGCAGTGAGCTAAGAACTTGCCACTGCAATCCAGCCTGGGTGACAGAGTGAGATCCTGCCTCAAAAAAAAAAAGAGAAAGAAAAATAAAAAATCGATCTAAAGAAGAATGAGTAGGTACGAAAGGGAAGTGTGGGTATTGAAAGAGGTAGTGTGATTTGTACACACTCAGGAACTTTACAGGACTTCAGGGGATGAAGTCATTTAAAGGGTAGTTGAGTCCACGAAAATGGACACGTCCGGGTATGTATCTCCTCTCTATCACAAACCTCAAAGATGGTCTTCGCTCTGTTTTCACATGAGAGCAGACATTCTCCAAAGATATGAAGCAGCATTTTCTTCATGAATTCAATGCGAAACACAGCTTTGCTTTTTAAGAATGATTTCTATTTTTTATGTAAAGTTTCCATGTAGTTATGGGATTCCTTAAACAGGCAGATTTAGGTGCAACAAATCAAATCCCATCTCCAGTCACCATACACTTATGTCATTAAACGTGAGACTGAGCACAGATGAGTCAATAAGGAAACGATCGTCTCACTGCAAGGCCATCTTTACACAGGGATTCTAAGTTACGGACATTTAAATCACTAAGGGAGTATTTAGAAATGTTCTTTGTACATTTTCCTAACAAAAACATTGAAAATATTCAGGTGTGGCTGACTGCTGGCTATCTCCCAGAATGCATTCTCCAGTCCCTCTATAGTAACAGGATCGTAGCTGGCTACATGGCATCTGTCCATTCGGCTTTGCCAGGAAGAGACCCGTGTCTCTTCAGGTTTTGCTCTTAGAATAGTTAGCAGTGAGTTCCAGTGTCCTCACCCCACTTCCTTTCTTCTGAATGGGAGAAGAGAGCTTCAGCAGTCTCCTTGGAGCCAGAGATAAAAGTCACATTTCGAAGACAGCAGAGCTACTCTACCAGTCCTATATTGTTTACTTCTAGAATGTTAACATGAAAGAGTTAGAAAATTCTATCTTGTTTAATTTACTGTACTTGGCGTCTCTTTGTTAATGTAGTCTACTCATTGTGCTTCTAATTCTTGTCATCTTTAACACTTAAGACCCTTCACCAATAGCTTCTAGAAAGATAACATGTTATTATATATTTACCAGGGTGCTCCTAAATCAAATAATTTTTTACAAACACATTTTATATTACCAAAAATAGCTACTGGAGTTGCATGCGTTAGCCATAAACACATTTCAGGAATAGATAAGATACATTTTAAAGAAAGTTGATTTTATATCAGTAAAGCACACAGTATTTACAGCCATCCAAAAACAGGGTTAATTTTAAAAAGTTAAATATTTAACTCTAGGAATAAATATTTAACAGATAAACTCAATAATAATGGCTGAAATAAAGATATTTCTTCACTATCATTGTATTTTTATTTTATTTTATTTTATTTTTATTTTTATTTTGAGGTAGGATCTTGCTTTGCTGCCCAGGCTGGAGTGCAATGGTGTGATCACAGCTCACTGCAGCCTTGACTTCCTGGGCTCAGGTGATCCTCCCACCTTAGCCTCATGAGGAACTAAGCCTACAGGTATGCACCAACATGCCCAGCTAGCTTTTAAGGGTTTTTTTGTAGAAATTGGGGGTCTCCATATGTTGCCCAGGCTGGTCTCGAACTTCTGGGCTCAACCAATCCTTCTATCTCAGCCTCCCAATGTGTAGGGATTGAAGGAGTGAGCCACTATGCCTGGCCTTATTTCTAAGTTTCTAAATGATTCAAGGTCATTCCTGGGTCTTGAGCCAGCAAACAATGACTGTTGTGAGAAATCCAATTGATGCCTTCATTATCAAGTGGGAAAGAGCAAATGTGGTCAGGGAGGCTAGACCCCAATGACAGTGACAATGACGGGTATATGAAGGTCTGTCTCCATTTGTGAACCTGTTGATACCTCAAATGGTGATGGTATGGCTCCCAGAACATTTACTCCATGACAGGACTATGTGTAGATATGCAGTAAGTTTTACTGATTTCTTTTGAAGAATGAGCTTGTTAGAAATATTAGATATTTCTTGAAGTAAAGTTTCAAATCCTAAAATAACAGAGATTTGAAAACTAAACTCCTGTGCTTTACGGCACACCTAGATTGGAACTTTTCCTTCGCATGAGGATAATATATTAAAAGTATACCTCAAAATACATACATTTAATCTAGAAAAGTTGTACTTTAATAAAAGAAAAAAAAAAATCTATAATACACATATTTTCTTTTCCTACCTTCCGTCTTCTGTTCATCAAAAGCTGATTCTAGTGGTGGGCCAAAGAGAGGAGCAAGGGCTACAGTGTCATCTGGAGGCTTTTTGCTAAATCATACACATTAAGGCAAAATAGAGGAAAAAGGCTCAAAAATTATTGCTCAAAAAGATATACAAGCTTTCCCATATTTTTCTCAGTAATACAAGTATGTGTGTGCGAACTAGTGCATGCATGCATGCATGTGCATACAAGCTCCATTAGGCCTAGAAACTATTTTATAAGGATGTCAGATGTATTATGGGACAAAAGAACTGGTAGAAGGTGAGATCCTTAGTTCTCAATGGAGGGCTGAGGTGCTCATCCAATAGAAATAAGTTGAAGGAGAATAACTCTTTCAAAGCATCATGATTTTCTATACCTGGAAGAGATAATACTAGAGATGAGAGTTTATTGCGAAGCACCTTTCTCCCCAAGATCTCAAATACCATTTACATTTGATTTCGCCACATCTCTGTGTTGTGGTTAATGCAGTTTATAATTAGTGAAAGTCAGGCATAAGGATATTAAATAAAAAGCTACCGAGAAGTTTTATCCTCCAATAGACTAGTTATAACCTCCAATACCCCGATACAATAAATCTCAGAAGGAGAAATATTGAGAAATCAGGGGAACAGGAGGATAATAAGTTACACTGGCATCCCTTCTCTTAATTATTACTCCAGACTGATTATTAAGAAAATGATGCATAATTATCTTCATTTCTTCTCCAAATCTGATTTCCCTTATTGATCCCAATGAGGTCTATGTGTGTATGGTAAAGGGTAAGGAGTGAAAAGGAGAGGAGAGAGGTAGGAGAAGGAGGATAAATATTGAAAATAATCCAATTTATAAATAGAAATAGCAGTCTTTATATAAAACAATGCCCATTTGTACAATACTTACCCAACCCACAGAGTACACTGTAAAATACAATGCTTTGCCAAAAACTAAAAGCAGACGGAAAATTCCTTTGGTGTGTGGCAGGTGGAATGCATCATGAGATGGTATCCAACTAGACATGCTTCTTTTCATAGAGTAACATAATGATATTGTAGATCAGCATTCCAGACACCAAAAGACCTCTTTAGAGAACTTTGGTGGCCCCATCAGGAAGGGGACTGCACATTCTGATAGGCAGTTACTTCAGATAAATGCAGAGTATTTCCCTAAAGGTCTCCCTTGGGCTGACTTATGAAAAATAATAACATATTTGGACCATGCTATAGACATTTGAACTGACATGTTTCAGTAGATCCTTTATTAATGGGAGCTAAGAGTTTAGCCCAAAGGAGATTTGCCTAATTGTTTAAAGTTCATGATGGCTTGCATAAAACACAACTAATATCTTTCACACTCACCTTATAAGTTCTGGAGTTGGTGTGGAACGCCTGGGTCTTGCCACTTCTTCACCTGATGCACAGGACAAAGGAACTATTTAGACATATTTTTTTACCATACCCTGATATGTCTTATAACCTATGTTTGGAAACACTTAGAGATTTAAGTCTCATCAATAAGCAACTCAAATGAAAACTTTACAAAACAAAGCTTCTCCCCTGGCAATGCAACAACCATATATTAGGCATATGTAGTGGTGTTTTCTTTGGCATTTGCAAAACCTCATTAACTAAGGAACTTCCGGTGACAAGCCATCAAAGAGAAGATTTGTATACTGCAGTGCTTAGTTAAAGAGCATACCATTCCTGGAATGTCTGCTGCCTTGACTGGTTCTGCTTTCTAATTAAGAAAATACTAAGCCAGGCCATATGTGTAGTACATGAATCCAGCATTCTCTGCCTGTTCTTTTCTTGAAATGCCAAGAAAACGTATCTTGAAAACTATGAACCATGAATTTAGAATCTCCTAGTATGTGTTGTATGCAGCAGAGGAAAATTGAGCCCTATGTATATTATAACCTGTATCACTTTGGTTGACTAACATTTTTATATCAAATAACAGAAGAATGGGTAAGTTGCTTCTACTTTCAGTTCCTTCTGCCCTCCTGTTCTTCCCACCCCCAGCAACAAATACATACTTGATTAAATTCATTTCTAAAGTTAAACAATATAGCAAGAGTTGACAAATATAGACAGAAAATAGCAATTAAAAATATTTATTTTCAGAACTTAAATATTAATCACTCACAGGGGCCCTCTATCATTACAAGAATTCTTTGCTGTAAAAGTAAAAAATTAAAAATTAAGCCCAAGAATGTATAATTCATATGTATATATACTCCAAGATCCAAGGAACTATTCTTTCTTTCAAATCATACGCTATTTCTGGTAGCTAAGATATACTTACTGGATAAGTTCCTTTTAATTGCACCCTAGAATTAGAAATAGACACTATAAGGTTTAAGACCACATATATGTTATGTACAATATGTATTATTTCTCTCATTGCAATTAAACTGAACTCAAATAAATACAGATAGAGAAATGAAATTTTTCTCAGAACCGCATTTAAGTTGGAAATTGTAGATACACACATAGAAATCAGTTTTTTATTTCACTCAAAGATTATAGAGAGGAAGGAAGGGTAAATCATAAGTCTTCTGAACAAGAAAAACCCCTTACCTGGGTAGATTTGGTAAATCAACTTCAAATATTGAATAGTCCGTTAAAAAAAACCTCTTGAACTCTAGCTGATAAGAATGTTTAGCATATGTTTGTTGAAGTTCAAAAATTACAGAATGTATTTAGGAGTAGTGCATGCTCCTTTCAGTTGGGGTCCCCAGGTTGCTAATGGAAACAGTCATCCGTTTACAAACGTGATTTTAAAAGGTATAGGTGGCAAGAGTAAAAGGCAAGGGAAACTGGAACCATCTGCCACTGAGCGAACAGTTTTATTCAGAAAGCCAGGGAATTCCACCCTATGCACTCATTCTCCCAATGTCTTCCACTTGCCTGCCACCAGGCCCATCAGTCATGAATTGGGAGTAATGTCTTTAGCTCAAGGCATTGTGATATTACTGGAATACAAAGAGCCCTGGCAGGAATAATCTGAGCAGGTCACCTCCAGTTTTTTTAATGCCTTAGCTTAAACTTATTTAGATAGTAGAAGGATTGATTAGATAAAAAGTTTTGATTAAAAAACAGAAGTGGTGAAAAGTTCTTTGTGTGGAATGCTACCAGAAAAGTAGACCACTAGGATGGTTGCATCGTGGGGTAGAGCATGGCTTGGCATGCTTGCTGTAGGAGAATGACAGAGGCAGAGTTGAGGACAGGGAAAGCTGAAGTACATATAAGAAAGTATTCCAAGGCTGGGCATGGTGGCTCACACCTGTAATCCCAGAACTTTGGGAGGCTGAGGCAGGAGTATCATCTGAGGTCAGGAGTTCGAGACCAGGCTGGCTAACATGGTGAAACCCTGTTTCTACTAAAAATACAAAAAATTAGCCAGGTGTGGTGGCAGGTGCCTGTATTTTCAGCTACTTGGGAGGCTGAAGCAGGAGAATTGCTTGAACCCAGGAAGCAGAGGCTGCAGTGAGCTGAGATCGCACCATTGCACTCCGACTTGGGCAACAAGAGCGAAACTCGCTCTCAAAAAAAAAAAAAAAAAAAAAGTATTACAAAAGGCGAGACCATGAACACATTTGGTGGATGGTCACCAAACCCTTTTTTCCTACTTTTTAATTTTAGTGAATGCTCAATCTGGTGGTCACAGATATGTTTTCTTCTCTCAAAGTATAACATTAACAGCTTAGGACAAGATTTAGCACCTCTGTAATAGACCTATAAGAAGCTTCTTTCCCTTGTTCCTAAGGCTATATAAAGATTTTCTGTCCCATTTTGAACCCATTTATGCGAGGAGCAGTTCCAATCTGAATAAAGTTCCATTCAATGCTTTCTCAATCTCTCAAAAGTATATTTTCTGGCTTTTTTTTTTTTTTTTTTTTTTGCTAATAATGTGATCTCTTTCTCCCTACTAAGTGTGTCATATAGAGAATTACTACATTATTTATACTTTCTAATAAATATGGCCACATATATCTGCTTAGGTCATTATGGAAGTTTGGATACAGGTTTGCTTTTAGAAAAGAAGGCTCTACAGACAGACATGATTAGATAACAGAAATAATTAGATAACAAATGCTTTTCTGGGTTATGAACCCTCAGATAGAATTTCATTAATAAGATCTGAAGGAAGAGATAGAGGGGATTTAGTTCCAAGCAGTCAATCACAAGATTGATAAATGGCATTGAGGGAACACAGCCTACCTAGTACTGTGAGGCCTGAAACCCTGGAGGTCCCAGAGGCTATATTGAAGACCCTTCTGTCTCTCAGCCCTACTCTTTTAAGTGTTAATATCCATAAAACCAAGAAAGGTACAGAGCTCCTTTTACAACCATCAAGTCCCAGATTTGTCAATTCATTCAATAGGTATTCACAGTGGAAAGGCACTAAAGAAGGCCCTGTAACATTTTTATTAAGAAGTCTTCATGAATGAACAATACCAGACTAAGTGCAAGCAAGGCATGGCAGAAATTTTCAAGAGAACTCAGTTGTTTAGAAATTAGGAAGAACAAAGCTAATATCAATTTAGAAAGGAACAAATGTTTGAAAGATCAGCAGCAAGTCAGCAACAACAGAAAAGTCCTGCTATCTGCTGGATGGGAATACTGATCTCTGATGACCTCAGTGTTGTTGCAGCAAGACATATCTAGAAAAAGACTGAGGTGATGATCATACAAACCACATTCAGGAAAAAAGACCATTGGATTCAAAACCTCCCCTTTTCAAGTGACCGTATATTCCTTTTTTCAATGCTTGTTTGTTGTTACATGTATATTGTGAATAAGTTTCCTCACTTTGAATGAATGAATTCACTCTTTTCATAATCTGTGATGTCACTTAACAGCTGGGTTGGAATCATCCATAGATTAGCAGTCTCTGCAGATGCCATCTTTGAATGGCATTAGTTATGTAGTTTAGCAGAGAACCACCAACTGGTCACCTGGGGCTGGATATTTGCATCAAATAATAATGGACTAACTGGATTGGCACAGGCCTAGGGATATTTCAGAGAGCACTGTTTTCAGTTCCATTTCCTCTCTTAAGGGACTGACCAGGTAAATGGGGGTCATTTCAAACTAACAAAGACCCTTCTTTTTGTTGCTTTAAATTCATGATACTCTTCAAACTTGAGGAAAATGACAGTTTTCACTTTGAACAATGCGAATTAATTTTGGTCTGCCCTCCCCAAATTTGTCTTCTGTGATGAAATTTATTTAGAATTATGTGATAGCCTAGGAATATTGACTTGAAAGTGTGTCTCCCTCTCCCAAGATGGAAATCATAATATTGTATCAGCATATTCCGATCACTGTAAGTTATGGTCCAGGGAGATATTTTGAATTCAGGCTTAAAAGCAATGATGGCTTAAAAAAGGTGTCCTTACATTCTTAATAGTTTTATTATTCTTTATTATCTCTTTGCTATCAACTTGTATGGTACTTTCTGGTGACTCTCTAGGCCTCTTATGCACACACAAACACACACATGCACACACACACACACACACACACACACACTCCATATATTTTCCAAATTTAGTATTAGGAGTTGGGACTCCCATGTATTAATTTAGTTCATTATGGGAAAGTGTTCTGACAATTCTAAAATATGCCCCTGATACTTAAGAGGGTCAGAGGCTTTCCACCAGTAAACCTACTTCATCTGCCTCATTCACACTGGGTTATCATAAATTTAATGGGAAACCAACCTGGCCACCTTGCCTTGGCAGCAATTTTCTCTATACATGTTTAAGGTAAAAATGTTGAGAGTTCTTACCGGGCTGCGCCTCTGTGATCAGCAAAAAGGAAGAGAGAACAGACACCTAGTCAGAGAACGATGGATCAGTCAACAGGCTTGGGTAATAGAAGACTTCATAAATAGCTACAGCTAACCAAACACACCCTCCAGATAATCAGGCCAAAGAAAGACAGGCAGTTCCAGTGTTTAAAGCTTATTTAAACCACAGGAGGCTTTGGAGAACCTTAAAGAGAGGCTATTAGTTGTACAATACAGCTTTGCTAATATGGACATATAAGTTTTAGTTATGTGTACATAAGAATAAGGTAGAAACATACAAGAAAACTTTACTGACAGTGTTTAATGTCTTGCCAGAGAAGTTTCTCTCTAGATAGTTTGTGGAGAGGGTACTTAGAGATAGTACAAAGCAAACTGTTTCCCTACAGAGCAGGGTGTTAGCAAATGTAGGCAATCATGGATTTCCCACATACTTAGGGTGCAAAAAAAGCTTACGAAAAACCAGAGGCAGGATTTAGACAGCCCCTTTCCTTGTCTGTATCTTTTCTTTGGTGTTCTATGGAAGGTATGCTTATGAGGATTTTTTTTTTTCTATGTTGAATGTTCTTGGCCTAGTGATTTGTGTCAACTCTACCAATATGATGTGAAAGATGAGAATGTGATGGGAAAGACAAAGAGCCCCTGACAAACGTAGTTGGGAATGACAAAAACTGTCCAGCAGCAACAGAATGCCGGAGGACCAGAAGACCTTAGAAAACACAACAAGCAGAGGTATGACTTCTTTCTTTTGCTTTTCAAACCTTGATTGTGGCTGCTATCAATTTACTCCAACAATCTCTGACAGCTCTGCCTCTTTAGGAGCTTTCTGATGTAACATGAGTGACTAGGATGTGAGTGGGGAAAGAGCTGTTGTTCAGTTTTCCTTTCAATATGTGGGCTAATGCATGGATTTGCCAGAGGCAACCTCCCGAAATCAAAACTGAGAGCACAAACACAAAGAGAGCTAGGAGTTTGTTCAAATGTAGAGATGGTCTTTCTAGGACATAGAGAGGAAGCAAAAACTTGTAGCTTTTACATCTAGTAGGCCTCCATGGATATCTAGTCCAACTGGCTACATGCTATAGAGAGGAAGGTGAGGTTCTGAGATACACAGCTAGTAAACAGGTAGAACCAGAGACAGAAGTTAGATCTCTGATTTCTCATTTTCTCATTCTTTCTATGATGCCAAGCATGGCATTGTTGAAGAACTCCAAAAGCAGAGAACCATTGTGGTTAACACCAGGAATGGTTATTTTTCAGACCAGTTTGTAAGTAGCATTGACATATTACTCTAGCCAATTTACTTGTAATATTACAGACTTTATTATTTGCCTTATTTTCCAGGTATTGCTCCCTATTGATTCCACCTTTTTTATAAACCTGCCTATATGCATGGATGTATCTTAAATAAAATGAGAAAAAAAGGACACATAAATACCTATATCTGGGCTTAACTGATCTTATTGACTAATCCATACTGTGTTTTGAGAAAAATTCAAACACTTTTTTATATGAAAATTTAGACTTTATTATTCTTTAGTGACCAGATTAAAAAGTTCTTTTGTGTAGAAGGAAGCGTGGGAATTTCATGATAAACAATTCACTTTTAAAATATAGCAATTAGAGGACTAAAAGCGACCTAAGTTGGAAATATGCAAAATAGAATATAGATTGCAAGCATTCAGAGGCAAACTTACATTCAAGAAGCTTTATTATTAAAGTACGTGCAAAAGTAATTGTAGATTTTGCCATTACTTTTAATTTAAGGTTATTCAGAACACTTTCACAAATTAATTTCAAATATATTAATCTACCCAAATTGAGTCATATCTTAATTTCCAATGAATTATAAACCTATATTTCTAATCACAAGTTCAAGCTTTTATTTTTTCTACTAAAAGACAACCTTGTGATACAGCATTTTGGAAACTACATTTGAAAAATGCCCTCATCAGGGAATAGCTGTTCAAATCCATGTAGTCACAGGCTGATTAAACAGAACCCAAAAGATACAGCTAGAAGCTGTCCAAAGTGTAGACCCAGAAAGCCTCAAGGTCTATGATTAAGAGCCATCTGAAAGTTTCAAAAGAAAAAGAATTCCAGAAGCAAATGGAAGGGCTTTATATATGTCAATTATCACCATTGATGAGCAAAAACCGGCTTAGGCTATGCCGGACAAGGACAGAAAAATTATTATTAGCCAGGAGGGTAGGGTCTTTGCCTGTTCAAAATTTAATTTTACCCTTTCTCCCATCATTTCCCAAGAATGTCAAAGCCTTTAGCATTCTATATTTTGTTTAAATACAGAATTTTCTTCAAAGGCAGGAGAAAACTAACTTAGTATCTGGTCTTGATATATTCTATAAGCTGAGAGAACTACGTCCAGATTGCAAACCCAAGTGCTTGCAGGAGTAAGAAGTGGGTGGGGGGATAGGGGGCTGGGAGTCAGGCACATACACATGATGAGGCTCTAGAAAACTGGCCGCTATTCAGTGCACCCCATGTCTGCCACGTGAGAATGTGGGCTTAGGCCTGCCAGGTCATCAGAGAGATGATGAACATCCGGATTTTCTTTTTAATTTGAAATGTTCTAGTTTTGAAATGTGGGCTAAAATTGTTTTTAACTGCACAACCAAACAAAACACCTATTCAGTTGTTCAGAATCTGCAGGAGGTCAATTTATCTCTGATTGCAAGCATTTGTAGCATACATAATAAGCTCTCAGTAAGTACTCTCTGCTGTTATTACTACTTCATTTCTGTGTCTGATTACTCAGAGACCTTGCAAGTGGTCTACTTGTTTTCTGAACAAATTTCCTTCATTCTTAATTAAATACTGTGTTCAATATCCAGATTTCTCTTGTTCTTCTAATGCCTTCTGGAGAAGGTTTTGGAAAACATTTTATTTTCCCTTCTACTTTTATCTCGGTGTTCCACTTAGAGATAGCTCTTATTTTCTACCTTGAGGCTATTTTCAAAGTGGATAAACACTGCTAATCTGTGATTTTGTCACTGGAATGAAGATCTAGAATATGGTATATTTCTAAAATGTATATAATTTTCAAAATGAATATGTCTACGTAAAAGACAATACTGCAGCCTATGTCCTCACCGTCTTCACAGTGTTTTTATGTTACACGGCAGTTCTGTTTTATTATTTTTTGCATAACAGAGTTCATTGAAATCCAGTTAACTGAGATACCTTAGTCTTAGTCAACGTGAATAAAGTGTTTTAACATGTTTATCATTTCCAATTAACCAAACAATCTATCCTGCTTGTCAAATTCATTAAATAACCGAGATTTTGAAGTTTTATGACATCCCAATTTGCTAAATGGGGGAAAGCAGATGAAAATGGACAATGAACTACAAAGCACTAAACAAATATGATTTTTCTATAGTCTTCTTTTAGCAAATTAAGTGACTAAAATTAGAGAATTTTCCAGGAAGGAATTAGAATACATGATCACTATGTTTATTAAGATTCCTACAAGCATTCCTATTTGTTTTTAAATGCTTTAGGGTGAAGACAAACGATTTGGCAAGCATCTATTCGCCCCATTATTGTAGGTGTTTGAATGTCTTTAAACTTGGGTCTACTACATATCACAAGTTAGATTACAGAGACTGTCTATTATATTAGATCAGACATATTTGAGATGATCTTCTAAAACTTCAATTGGGAAGAGAAACAAAGAACCTGCTAGTAACCAAGGTATCATCAAAATGACCAGGCAGAGGAATCAACATGGACATTTACAAAGAAAAATGAGGTGAGGGAGTGACGGGGGTAAATTACTGTAGTTAAAATTGCCGTGAAGGACAACAGGAGAAAAACTAATGAAAAGGAGAATTTTTAAAGCACCAGAGGCAAACCTCAGGCCACAGAGTCCTGTGGGTATTTGAAGTGGTCAAATGTGGTTAATTCAGAAAAAGATTCAGGGTCTATAAGAATAAATGAAATTGCATAATGGAAGGAAAGGCTGTTAAAGAGCACCAGTAATATTTTGCTGCCACAGAGCAGGCGAAGCATAGTTGATTCTGAATTGCTCAGAAGAGGGCCATTTAGCTTAGTAATAATCATAATCATAGCTGCTTATTTTATTTTTGGAAACCAAAAAACTTGGGTTCACATTTTGAGACATTTTAATGTTTTGGTCTCATGTTTGGGTCCTTCCTGTGCCTTCTGTTCCTCCTCCCTCCTGTCCTATGGCTTTTCTATAAGCACAGTATCCTGTATATGGGACAGTGGCTGCCAGGATTTGGTCAGTGGGAAGGATCAGAGGTGAAAGCATTTACTGCAACATCCACCTAGGTGTGTTAACAATATGCCAACCACTTCTTGGTGCTGTGAACATGGAACATAATATTTTCCTATTTTCCAGCAGAGAGGTCACCTCTGTCAGCCATCCTGAGAGCACGTTCCCAACAAACCAGGCAACCAAGAAGAGAACTGACTTTTTTTTTTTTTTTTTTTTTTTTTTTTTTGAGATCTATTCCTTGTGTTTCTCTAAAATAAAACGATGTAGGTACATCATATAAGACTTGTGTTGCCACCAAAAATCACCCACTGCTACTAAAAATTAACATCCAGGAGGTAATTTACATTTTATAAAGATCCTCTTTTGCAGTCTCTGACAATTCCAGGAGGGAATATTTTGATTTACTAAAACAAAAACAAAATAAACCCCCCCAGCTTCCCTACAACTCCCTATTCCAAGACCAGCTTCATATGCATTCTAGATGCTACCATGTTGAACACTAATCAGAAATTAACTTAAAAAATGTTTGCTTAGCTCATGATACGCAGATGTAGCTTGGCTAATTCCATTGGAAGCTGCAATAAATGAAACTTGGTACCAAAAATATTTGATCATATGCCTGTGATTGAGGCAGAGGTGAATCTCAACAAAATTACCCCAAGGCCCTTAATCAGTAACCAACTTTTTTTTTTCCCACGTGCCATAATGAGACCTGGTCATGGTTCACAAAGGTTTGCTTTTAAAGTTCAGAAACTTGTTTAGGTGTTAAACACAGTCAGTCATTAGATATGCAGATAATGAAAATAAATAGAATAAATAATGTTTGTCCCCAAAGTGGAAAGGACTTATTTCTTACCGGACTTTTCCTCTAAAAGTGTAGGCATGGGGAGGAAGAATAAAGAGAAAATGAGAGAGGTGAAATGTATTTTCAAGAAGAAACAGGTCAAGGCTCAGGATAACCTTACTTTAAGGCAGCTCTTGAAGGCATTGCTTTTATAAATGTTTACTAGGTCATTCGTAGGCTGGATGCCTGATATGGTCATTCCTAGGCTGCTGTTTTTAGTTCAAGCTACAGAGGGCATAGGTGTGGACTTCATCTGAGCGTCTGACCACATTCTAATCTTTCTTTCTTCCTTTCCTTTCTTTTCCTTTCCTTTCCTCTTTCCTCTGAGCACATTCTAATCTATCCTTCCTTTCTTCCTTCCTTCCTTCCCTCCCTCCCTCTTTCTTTCTTCTTTCTTTGTTTCTTTGTTTGTTTCTTTCTTTCTCTTTCTTCTTTCTTTCTCTTTCTTTCTTTCTTTCCTTCCTTCCTTCCCTCCTTTTTCTTCCTTCCTTCCTCTTTCTTTCTTTTCTCTTTCTTTCTTTCTTTCTTTCTTTCTTTCTTTCTTTCTTTCTTTCTTTCTTTCTTTCT